ATCATAATTATATCTCAATGATTTTTCTTCATTCTTATAATCTGAAGGTCTTGAGTTTGTACATTAGAAAGAATGTTTTATGTCCATTGTGTGAGAGAGCATAATATGGTGCCAGGAGTATAGATTTTTGAGAAAAGCTGAGCTGGGTTCAAATACTTCTCCTAGTTATTAGCTAGATGATCTTGGGAAAATTGCTATACCTTCCTAAGTGGCAGTTTCCTATATATATATGTTTATGGCTAAGTGTCCATCTGACCGGTAGCTATGACCCGCACTGACCACCAGGGGACAGGCGCTAAACACAGGAGAACCCAAGAACCACCCTCTTGCAATCCGGGAACCCCTCAGGGGATGTTGGAGAGCTGGTTTTGGCCCGATCCCGATCCCTGCAGGCCAGGCCGAGGAACTCCACCTGCTGGAGGGACCTGCTCACTCCGCTGACGCCCTTCAAGCCACAGCACCACCGCAGGTGCGGCCGGCCAGGGAGGGACTGTGGGAGGTTGAATCCAGGGGGTGTCCGGTCCCTCCCCACCGGCCACCTTCTAATTAATTTCCTTTCAATGTGCATGAATCTGTGCACCGGGACACTAGTTCTACAATAAGGAAAGTGAAAACAAACTTTGCAAGGACTATTGTATTTTTTAATGAGATGATATGTATTAAGTGCTTAAAATATCTGGCCCTTAATAAATAGTCTGTAAACAGTAGTCAAACACTGTGTGTCATATGGCTCTAGTTTATCTTCTTAACCTGGTTTCATTTCCTTGTCTCATGAAAATTCTCCACAAATCCAAAGTATTTATGCTCATTGTCCTTAAAGGTACCTGTGCTCTCTACCTTCTTGCTACTTCATATGCCCCCTCTTTTTTTATGGCTCATTTAAAATCCTCTTTTCTTCTTAGTATGAATATACTGGTCTGTAACTGTCTTCTTTACCATTCAGTTTGCACTTTGCATTTATAGTAGTTATTCCATGTGCTATCTTTGATAAAGATAGTCTTCTAGAAGGCAAAGGGGACTCACTGTTCTTGGGAAAAATAGTTTAGTAGAAGAGCATTGGGCCTGGAGTCAGTGATCCTTGGTTGTAGCCTAGTAGCAGCTATTGCTATTCTGCTGGAATGGCTAATTACATCACACTCACACTATTTTTTTTTTTATCAGATGGTTGTTCGGCCACACTGTAGTATTCTCTACAGAACAAACTTTCTTGTTTTTTGCAATATGGACATACTTGAGTATTTTCCAAATCTTTAAGTGTTAGTCTTGTTTTGCTTAACATTATTCCTTCTCTTTTTATTTCTTTGTTCTTGCCATTTACTATAAGCAGTCAGGTGAAACCAAGCTATTCCTTCAACACTTTGCTGAGAAGTCTCCTTACTCAATAAAATTTCAGTTTTGTTCCCTACAAATTCCACAGAATGCTAGAACATAGCCAGTGTTTTCTTTTTGCCACTTTATAACAAGGAACATCTTTTTTCCATTGTCCAATAACATGTTCCTCATTTTCATCTGAAACCTCACCAGAATGGCCTTTACCATCTATATTTCTACAAGTATTCTGTTAAAGATTGTTTATATATTCCTGTTACAGCAGCACCCCACTTTTTGGTACCAAATCTGTCTTAGCTTGGGCTACTTTAAAAATATATCACAGACTGGGTGGCTTCAACAGACATTTATTTCTCAGTCTTAGAGGCTGGGAAGTGCGAGATCAAAGTGTGGGCAGATTCACTTCCTGGTGAGGACCCTCTTCCTTAACTTGCATATGGCTATTTTCTCACTTTGTCTCTTCCTGTTGGGATCAGCAATGAGTGAGATTCTCTCTTCTCCTGGCTCCATTTTCAATGAAGTTTCTGTTTATTAATTTTTACAGTATTCTTCAGTAGTTGAATGGGTGAATAATCTGGTACATCCAGGAAATGGAATAATGTTCAATGCTAAAAATTAATATGCTATTAAACCATGAAAAGACATGGAGGAACCTTAAATATATATACTTAGTGAAAGGCCAGTTCGAAAAGGCTACATACTGTATAATTCCAACTATCTGACATTCTGAAAAAGGCAAAACTATGGAAATATTAAAAAGATCAGTGGCAGCTCCTCGGGTTAACAGGATGTATTAGACAGAGTACAGGGGATTTTTAAGGCAGTAAAAACTATTATGTATGATACTCTGATGGTGTATACCTGTCATTATACATTTGTCAAAATCCAGAGAGTGTAGAACATCAAGAGTGAATTTTAGTGTAACCTATGGCCTTTGAGTTATTATGATGTATCAGTGTAGGGTCCTTAATTGTAAAAAATGTTTCACTCTGGTGGAGCATATTGCTCGTGGGGGCTGTGTGTGTGTGTGTGTGTGTGTGTGTGTGTGTGTGTGGCGAGGGAGGGGGCGCAGAAAGTATATGAGAACTCTGTACTTTCCATTCAGTTTTGCTGTGAACTAAAACTGCTCTAAAAACATAAAATCTAGTTAAAAAAAATCTGATAATGGAAACAAAAGCTGTCGTTTTAGCTATCTGGCCAGGTCTTACACCAGCTGGTGTACTGCAATTTAGTTCTGACACTAATCACCCTGAGTTATCATCAGACTCCACAGGTGTAAGGACATGTTCCCCAATTAGACTGCCACTTCTTCATACACCAGCCGCAGCCAGGTCACCAGGCTATTCACACTTCTAGCCAAGTAGCTTACAGATAAGGGGGGTTCCCAAACCCCCCTCACAAGACTGCTCTCACTTCAGATGCAAGTTGCAAGTTCAGAGGTCTCTAGGCCACCTACACTTCTGACCAACTGGCTATCAAATGGGGGGTTTCCTGTGACTCCTCTCAGGTTTAATAATTTGCTAGAATGATTCATAGAACTCAGGGAAATGCTATACTTATGATTACAGTTTTATTATAAACAATAGAAATTGGGACCAGCTAAATGAAGAGATGCATGAGGCAAGGACTTGAAGGGTCCTGAATGCAGAGCCTCTTGCCCTCTCCCTGTGGAAGCAGGTCACATCACTCTCCTGGCACATCAGTGGATTAACCAACTAGGAAGCTCCCCTGTGCTTCCGTGTCCAGAGTTTTTATTGAAATTTCATGACATAGGCATGATTGATTAAGCATTGGCCACAGGATTGAACTAAATTTCCAGCCTTTCTTCAGACAATGAGGGGTTCTCTGTCAAAGTCCCTAATCACATCTAGTCTTTCTGGTCACCAGCCCTGAGCCTGAACCATTTTGTTAGCATAAATTTGAGCTTGAATCAAGGGATTTATCAAAAACAAATACTCTCCTATCACAGGAATTCCAAGGGTTTTAGAAACCCCCTGCCTGAAATCCAGGACAAAGACAAGACATATTCTTTTTTTTTTTTTTAATGTATTTTTATTGATTTCAGAGAGGAAGGGAGAGGGAGAGGAACATCAATGATGAGAGAGAATCATCGATTAGCTGCCTCCTGCACGCCCCCTACTGGGGATCAAACCCACAACCCTAGGTATGTACCCTTGACTGGAATCCATCCTGGGACCCTTCAGTCCGCAGGTTGATACTCTATCTACTGAGCCAAACTGGCTAGGGCTGGCAAATTCTTTATTAGACAACACCAGGCTTTAAAAAAATGGTAGCCCTTGAGAAACCTAATACTTTTTTTTTTTTTAATTTGAAAATGTACCATGGAAAGCTAAGCTCAGATAACTGAAAAATATTTAAGATTAGAAGAGGTAAGAGCAATAGCTGATTTACAAATCTCTGTATTAGTCTTGTTTTAAATTAGTCCACAAAAGAACATCCAGCCTACAGAAAAGTCTTAAAAGAGTTTATTTGAGCCAAATTTTGAGGACATGCCCAGAAGCAAAATCTCAACTGATTGAGAAAATGCTTGGGAGAATAGCAGGTTTGTAGTTCCTTTTCTGCATTTAGAATCAAAGAAAATGTAAGGAGGAACACATGAAATCCATTGTTGGTAAATTAAGGAGGTGGGAGAAGGCAAACCAGGGAAATCTCTAGCACTGAACAAATGGCAAAATGGAGAAACACATATTTCTTGTACACTGGTGGGTACAGGATTGTTAATAATTTACATTTACAGTACATAGGGATGGTATATAAGGAACAAGAGCCCTAACCGGTTTGGCTCAGTGGATAGAGCATCAGCCTGTGGACTCAAGGGTCCCAGGTTCGATTCTCGTCAAGGGCATGTACCTTGGTTGCGGGCACATCCCCAGTAGGGGGCGTGCAAGAGGCAGCTGATCGATGTTTCTCTCTCATCGATGTTTCTAACTCTCTATCCCTCTCCCCTCCTCTCTGTAAAAAATCAATAAAATATATATATATATATGTATGTATATATATATATATAAAGGAACAAGATTAACATGAGTGCTCTGGTGGTCATGTGCTCTGGTGCCTCGATTATGTCTTGGAGGGATCTAGAAAAGAAAATTACTCTGGCCTCCTAGATGCATAAGAACGATGGACAGAGTTCAGTTAAAGATTTACCTCTGCAAAGGAAGCTACAGGCCTGGGATGTGACTACCCGCCATGGCCTGCCCAGTTAGGAATTTATGATTAGACCATCCTGTGTGGTTACTTTTGTTCACTGAGCTTGTCAGGCCTGCCATGTGGCCCCCTGAGCTTATTAGGGTTATTTTATAGCTTCTTTTTTGTTCACAGTTCTTTAAATCTTTTTGTTATAGCTCTTTAAATCTTTGTACCTCATGCAGTTTGGATTTCATATTTATGATTTTGATGCATAAATGATTTTCTTTTGATAAAAAGTATATAGAGAGAAATTTACTTGGAAAGGTGAGCTAGTATAATAACATGAGTCTTTCCAGTTTTCACTCACACTGGTAAAATAAAATAAACAGATAACCTTAAAAAGCTTTTTTCTTGAGCTGTAGGTTGCTTCATTGGACTCACTTTCCTCTCTAAGAGCAAGTTATTTTAGAATGTATCCACTTTTTCCAAGGAAGTACTTAGTTCTGTTTTTTCTTTTGCAGATTGATTATACCGGAATAGACCCTTCCAGTCCCTGCAATAAATGTTTGTCCCGGAATGTGACACCTTGTATTTGTACAATTAACTTCACACTGGAACAGTCATTTGAGGTCTGTATTCCCAAGTAATGTGTTTAAGAAGCCATGCTTTAAAAAGTGTTATATTGTGTTAATGTTTTTACAAAATTGTTTTGTGTGTGTTTGGAGAAGTCACTTTAATTAATTGGTTGTAGATGCTCTTATGCTAAAAAAAGCCTTTTTTTTTTTTTTTTTTTTGCTATTGAATTATGCTGCCTGGTAATTAAAGACATGTATTTAAGTAGTTTATTTTAGCACTTTGTAATCTAAATTTAAAACATTGTTTTTTATATTACTGAAAAATTTTATTGTACAAATCACTTTTGATCACATTTATATCTACACTTGTATTTTTAAAATTATTGTTCAAATTATTTTGCCCACCTCTAATATTAAAACAAGTTTTTAGAAAATAAATACTGCCCGAGCTGATTTGGCTCAGTGAATAGAGCGTCAGCCTGTGGACCAAAGGGTCGTGGGTTCAATCCTGGTCAGGGGCATGTACCTTGGTTGCAGGCTCCTTGGGCCCTGACCTTGGTCGGAGGCAACCAATTGATGTGTTTCTCTCACATCAATATTTCTCGCTGTCTTTCCCTCTCTCTTCCACTCTCCCTAAAAATCAATGGAAAAATATCCTCGGCCAAGGATTAACAAAAAAAAAAAAAGAAGAAGAAGGAAGGAATGGATGGAGGGAGGGAGGGAAGGAGGGAGGGAGGGAGGAAATACTAATTCACCCATTATTTTACGGTATTATTTTTCTATCAGATATGAACCATTACCATAAATACAAACACTTAGTGAAACTATTGACCTTTTTATGTCTTGATAAGCAGAACAACATTTCTGTGTGTGTGGTCTGTCTGTCTTTTGTATTCACACTTATCTAGCAATCTGGGAAACAGCATCAAAGACAAATGGCAACACCAGTTTGTGCTCTTCTTTACCTGAAAATTGAACTTAAGAATTATTTTTTAGGGAGCAAAACTGCTTTAATACATGCCAACTTGTTTTTCTACACTTGAGTTTTCTGAAAGGTAGTAATGACTTTTGTAGTCCCTGGTAGATGACTGCTATCTACTGGTTGTAGATGCTCTTACACTAAAATAAAGGAAAATGTTACCTTTTTATAAAAACAAGAAAATGAATTTGGGAGAAGACAGATTATTTTACTTTGTTTCAGCAGAAATAACATATAAATTGAAAACACCGTAGAAATTCTCTTATTTTTCAATGTGATGGACAAATTATAAAGATGCATTAAGTTCTTATTGTTAGAACAGGCAGAATTAAAGCCTTGAAAGAGACTTGTAATGATTTAGAAGCTACATTAGTTTCCCCCCATTAAAAACAGTTATTTTAGCCCTAGCTAGTTTGGCTCACTGGATAGAGCGTCGGCCTGGGGACTCAGGTTTGATTCTGGTCAAGGGCATGTACCTTGGTTGCAGGCACATCCCCAGTGGGAGTGTGCAGGAGGCAGCTGATCGATGCTTCTCTCTCATCGATGTTTCTAACTCTCTATCCCTCTCCCTTCCTCTCTGTAAAAAATCAATAAAATATATTTAAAAAAAAAAAACAAAAAACAAAAAAACACAGTTATTTTAGAACATTTCTTCTGCAAAGGTGATCATCTTCAGATTCATTATTTTGTGGGCTCTGTGTTCTTTCGCAGCCAACCATTTGAATTGCACTAAAGCCTTTTCAGAGAACTTCAAGGAAGTTATTTTGTCTCAGTATTCATTTAAAATAATTTCTTTTTCAGTTTGTAAGTTGAATTTACTGTACTTCTTAATTGAGATGATACTTTTTTTTAAAGCGTTTTCTTTGTTTCTGTGATATAATTTTTTTTTAAAATCCTCACTGGAGAATATTTTTTCTATTGATTTTTTTTCTTTTTTTTTTGTAGAGAGATTGAAAGAGATGGAGGAGAAGGGAGGGAGGAAGGAAGGGAGGGAGGGAGGGGAAGAGAGTGAAAGAGAGAGAGAGAGAAAGAGAGAGAGACATCTATGTGAGAGAGACACATCGACTGGTTGTCTCCTGCACACCCCCTCACCTGGGATGGGGAGCAAACCCTCAACTGAGTTATATGCCCTTGCCTGGCAGTTGAACCTCTAACCATTGAGCCAAACCAGCCAGGGCTGTGATAAAATTTTCATAACCAAAAATAAAGTAAGTAAATAGTTTTCATGTAAACATTTTCTTTATATAGAATAAGAATTTGCAAGCATTTGACATTTGAAAATCAAGCTCTAAATAAATGATTATGTATATGAAATCAAATAAAGCATATCTGAAATGTTATTGAATTTCTCTTTTTCCTGGATTCCTTTCATCCTTTAATTCCTTTTATTTAGTTTTAATTTTTAAAAATTTTATTGAATTTATTGGGGTGACATTGGTTAATAAAATTATATAGGTTTTAAGTCTACAATTCTGTAATATGTCATCTGTATATTGTATTGTGTGTTCACCACCCAAAGTCAGTTTTCCTTCTGTCACTATTATCCCTCCTTTTCTTTAATTTCTTTTAATTGAGGGTAAGATTATAGATGATAGAGATAGCAACCAGAAAGTAGAAAATCGTGTAATGTTTTGCTACCTCTAAAAAATCTTACATTCAAGATGGCATCTTGTGAATAATTGTAGTGTATGTAGGTTACTGTTCTTACTCAAGTTATTTCCAAGTTGGCTCTGTTGAATACATTAAAGTACTTTTCTTGATTATTACAAAATGACACATTATTTTAGATACTTTACTAATTATTAATTTAATAATTACTACTATTATGTAGTATTCTGTGGAGAAATTTGTTATGACTCAGCTCAAGTTCAGAATTACTTGGGCGGTAAGTGCTCATTGGGTAGACCAATCTGAATTAGAGAAAATTTTAAGTTGAAAGTAGATCAGAATAGGTATGTGTGTGTGTGTGTGTGTGTGTGTGTGTGTGTGTGTGTGTGTGTGTGTTCTTTTAAATCTAAATAGCACTTCTTTGAAGTCTTTAAGGATATTTTCAAAGTTTATCCTTGGATTTTTGCAACATACTTTCTTTAACCTTACTTACAATTTGTATTGTTTTAGATTGCCAAGTACTGGTAGAGTTCACCCCAGTACCTGTTTTTTAAGTTTTCATAAACTAGTACAGTCCAAAATTATGTAGCCTTTATGTATGCATGAAACAGTTTTATACTTAATAGTTTTAAGTGAAAAAATTTTCCCTTTCTGTTCCTGTAGGGCAATGTGTTTATGTATTATGGACTGTCTAATTTCTATCAAAACCATCGTCGTTATGTGAAATCTCGAGATGATAGTCAACTAAATGGAGATCCTACTGCTTTACTTGTAAGTAAAATGATGAAATATGATGATGTGGTTTCTATGAAACAATGTGCTAATTGTTTAGTTAGAAATGTTAAAAATTCCTTTTTAAAGAATTTAAAGTGAAAGAGTTTATTAGTGAAGCAGTAGAATAGAGAGAAGGCTACTTCACAGGCAGAGCAGCCAGAAAAGTTAATTTTAATAATGCTAGGATATATTAAACTTTTACTTGCCATTTATAGTTTGTTTAATGAGGGTTTTTAGTTAAAAAATTTTCCCCCTGGATTTACAAAGATTAATGATTTCTCACAGCCAGAAGACAAATTACTACCTGCTTGTTTCTAATAGTGTTCTTGGGATTTTTGCTTTATTAATCTGTTTGTAATGGAATTTTGACAAGTCTAGCATTCTGGGTATGTAATTTGTTCTGTTTGGGTTTATTAGTTATTATCACACCAAGACTATGTAAATAAGCTACCTTTTTAAATTTCTGAGATTGTGTTTTAGAATGGAACATGTATGCTCTTCATTTTTTAACTTGTGGGAAGCCTGAGTAGTAAAGTCCAAAGGGTGGGTTACTGAAAAATTGTCTGAGGAACTTTTTGAAAATATAGATTTCAGAATTCTAAGTATAGCAAGTTAGTGTCTGCAAGGGTGGAGCTTTAAAATGTATATTTTAACAAGCTCCCTTTCTGATGCCCAGCCTGGTTTGGGAATCGGTAGACTAGAGGATCTTAGTCTTCTGACTGTTGTTCAGCTTTTCATAGTAGTGGTTGGTGTGCAAGTAAGTATTTATGGTATTGCTGCCAGTCCAACAAACCATCAGAGTCCCAGAGCTATCTAGGATCTCTTACAAACGGTGAATCTCTTAGAATGTAATTTAGGATCATATTGTGACCAGAATGGTTCTGGTAAACCATTGCCTTACTGGTTTTATTGCTAGTTCCTTATGTTTGAGTTCTTAAGAAATAGCAAGTCTGTTTAAAGATTCTAGTTAGGGCTGTAATATTTTACAATTTATGTGGGATTTACTCTGTGGGACCCAATTTTTAGAACTCAAATCCAGTGAAGGTGATGTTCTTTGAGACATACCAACTTCCTAGGCCTCTCTCAATTTGTTGATTGGGAACATAGATTGAGTGTGTTCAGAGACCCAAAGTGGTAGTTGATTTATAATTATTTTATTTAGATACCTACTCATTTCACTGAGGGTGAAAGAAGCTGAGATTGATTCTTTTTTTAGAAACTGCAAGCAAAGATTTTAGACTAGACTAGGAATTGATGGAATGTTTTATTGTAAAGGGCTATGTAGGTCATATAGTTTCTGTAGCAGCTACTCACCTCTGCCATTGTAGAATGGAAGCAGCTATAGACAATACTTAAATGAATGGGTGTAACTGTATTCCAGTAAACTTTATTTACAAAAACAGGTGGTAGGCTGGATTTTGCCTGCTTGCTGTCACTTCTTGGTCCCTGGTCTGTACCAAAATGTGTGAATTTCTTTTTTTTTTTTTCCAATCCTCACCCAAGGATATTTTTTCCATTGATCTTCAAAGAGAATGAAAGGGAGGGAGAAGAGGGGAGACAGAAACAGAGAAACACTGACTGGTTGCCTCCTGCACACGCCCCAACTGGGGGTGGGGAGGGAATTTGCCCGGGGAATTGAACCCGTGACCCTTTGGTCCATGGTCTGACTCTAACCACCAACCAGGGCCAAACTGTGTGAATTTAAGACCAGGTGATTTTCAAAAATCTTAAAGTTTTCAAAAATGGGCAGATTGAAGTTCAAGTTACTTAACATTGTGTGTAAGACTTCATAATATGATATCAACCTACACTTTAGGCTCATTGTTTTATACTTTATCTTTTTTAAAAAATGTTTTTATTGATTTGAGAGAGAGAGAGAAGAGAGAAGCATCATGTGAGATTGTTTTGAGAAATGGCTTAATGTGGCCTTGGAGTCCCAGAACAACTCATATATACAACTAATCTTTTACTTGGTAGAATCTCCATTTAACCCTGCAACTGCCATATGTCCTTGAGATCTTCAATAGGGACTAATGCTTCTTGCCTAGCCAGCATTTTCGTTTTCCTTGTACCTGGATGCACAGTTTAGAAAAGATAGTTATATTCTAGGAATCTGCATTAAGCCAACTCCCTCCCTCCTTCCTTCCCTCCTTCCCTCCCTCCTTCCCTCCTCCCCTCCCTCCCTCCCTCCCTTCTTCCTTGCTTCCCTTCCTTCTTTTCTTTTTTCCTTCCCTTGACAGGGGATTTAACTCAGAATCACAAATTTTGAATTAATCCTGTTAATTTTATAAGTGAGCACAGGTAAATCAAGGGACTTGCCCCAAGTCACATAGTACACAACTGGAACTAGAATCTCCAGTCTCTTTACCTCCAGTTTAAGACCCCTTCAATTATGTCACAACTAGATTGACAGTAGATTGCTTCTTAATTTTTCTTGGACAAAACTTTTTGTGGTTATGATTTCTGTGTTGATATGAAAATAAAAAATGTCAATTTGGTATATACCTGTATGACAAAATATATGCAAGGAAAAGTTACATTAAAATGATAATGCAGTAATGTTAAGGAATGTATTTTAGTATTTAAATGTAGCGTTATTTATAGTGTACTTAAAATACAGACTCATTTTGTATACATTGCAAGTGAGAAGCAAGTAGGGATTGAATTTTTAATCAGTAATAGGAGCCTAGCTCATAGTTCTCTTGGAGGCCTGGGTAATAATTTCTCTTTTCTTTTCCTTCTAAATATCAGAATCCCAGTAAGGAATGTGAGCCTTATCGAAGAAATGAAGACAAACCAATTGCTCCTTGTGGAGCTATTGCCAACAGCATGTTTAATGGTATGATATAAATACAAAGATATAGATATAGACATAAAATTAGGAAACTTTATATAATCTTACTAGAGGGCCAGTGCATGAAATTTGTGTACTGGTAGGTTCCCTAGTGGCTGCTCGCTGCCAGCCAGGGCCTCCCTCCCTTCCCCCGGCTGGCCCCACCCCCTGGTCGAACTCCCAGACGAACTCCCCGTTGAGGTGACAATTTGCATACTATGCTTTTATTATATAGGATTACAGATTTAATAGTCTAGTAAACATGAATGAAATTGAGAAATTCAACAATCTTAAGATAAATACAGGGTGTCTCAAAACAATGTATGTACACTTTAACAGCTGATAGCTCAGTTTTCAACATGAAATGTATTTTAATAAACACTGCCTTTATAATTATTCAAAGTGTGTGCATACATTTTTTGGGAATACCCTATATATCAATTAGTAATTCAGTGGGTTATTATAATGCTTTGTGACTTTCTTCTGAGAATGCTTATATTTTAAGGATGAATTTTTGTTTCTGGGAAGAAATAAGCAGGGACATTGTGCTTTCCTATTTCATATATGATAAAATAAAAGCTAGGTTACCTTTCCCACCAACTTTTAATATTTATATCATTAAAAAGATGCTACAGTTGATCATTTAGAGCAGCACTGTATAATTATAAATATAATGTGAACCATAAATGTGAGACATGCATATAATTTTCAGTTTTCTAGTAGTCACATTAAAAATAATAAAAAGAAATAAGTGAAATTAATTTTTAATTAAGTTTATTGAGGTAATATTGGTTAATAAAATTATATAGGTTTCAAGTATACAGTTCTGTGATACATCATCTTTATATTGCATTTACCACCCAAAGTCAAATATCCTTCTATCACCATATATTTGATCCTCTTTAACTTTTACCACTCCCTACCCCCTTTTCCTCTGTTAACCACCATATTGTTGTCTGTTTATGAGTTTTTGTTTGTTTTATTTGTTCATTTGTTGCTTTCAGTTTTATATCCCACATATGAGTGAAATCATGGTTCTTGAGTTTTTCTGACTTCTTTCATGTTAGCATGATATTCTCAAGATTGATCCACATTGTTGCAAATGGCAGTAATTCATCTTTTCTTAATGGCTAAATAGTGTTCCATTGTATATAGTTACCACATTTTCTTTATCCAATTTTCTATTGAGGGACACTTTGTTGTTTCCATGTCTTGGCCACCGTGAATATTGCTGCAATGAATATAGGGGTGCATATAAGTTTGGGAATAAATGTTTCCAAATTTTTGGGGTAGATACCCAAAAAAGGCTTTCTGGGTTATATGGTAAGTCCAGACTTAATTTTTTAAGGAACCTCCATACTCTTTTCCTTAGTAGCTATGCCAGTTTATATTCCCACCAGCAGTGATGGTGGGTTCTGTTTTATCAAACTACAAAGCTTCTGCACAGCAAAAGGAACCATCAGCAAAACAAAAAAGGCAGCCAACTGTATGGGAGAAGGTATTTGCAAACAATGGGAGATATTTGCTCTGACTAGGGGTTAATATCCAAAATAAATAAAAAACTCATAGAATTCAACAACAACAAAATTACCCACTCAAACAATAGGTAGAGGACCTGAACAGACACTTCTTCCAAGAAAACATACAAATGGCCAACAGATATATGAAAAGATGCTCAACTTTGCTAGCGGGGAAATAAAAATCGAAACTACAATGAGATACCAACTCACATCTGTTAGAATGGCTGTTATCAATAAGACAAATAATAACATGTTGGAGAGGTTGTGAAATTAATTTTAATAATATATTTTATTGAACCCAATAAGCTCAAAACATCATTTCAGCATATAAATAATATGCATTATATAAAAGTTGTTGATATTTTATATTCTACTAGAGGCCCGGTGCACGAATTCGTGCACCAGTGGGGTCCCTTGGCCTAGCTTGCGGGTTCGGACCGAAACCTGCTCTCTGACATCCTCTGAGAGGCCAAGATTGTGAGAGTGTGCAGGCCAGGCTGAGGGACCCCACCAGTGCACGATCCGGGCTGGGGAGGGATATGGGAGGTTGGCCAGCCAGGGAGGGACCATGGGAGGGCTCCAGGGTGTGTCTGGCCCATCTCGCTCAGTCCTGATCGGCCGGATCCCAGCAGCAAGCTAACCTATAGGTCAGAGTGTCTGCCCCCTAATGGTCAGTGGACATCATAGCGAGCGGTTGAGCAGCCTTAGCATATCATTGGCATATTACGTTTTGATTGGCTGAATGGACAACTGGACACTTAGTATATTAGGCTTTTATTATATAGGATCTTTTATACTAAGTCTTTGATATACATTTACAAAACATTCATTTAGCTGTCATTTCAAAAGCTCTGTAGCCATGTAACCACTGGCTACTATATTAGACAGTGCAGATAGAGAAATGCATAAACCATTAACTATTTATGAACGCATGTTTAAAAGAAAGAAGAGGCAGATTTACCTTGCAAATAATTTTATTTGGTTTAATATTAAAACATTTGACCTTATCTCCTATCAGCCAAATAGAAAAGTAACCTAGAACTGTATTGAGTGATGAAAGAAAAGTCCATCTGGGATTATAAATTTTTAATTGCTAATTCACATATAAATAATCAAGAGCAAATATACATCATATGCCTACTCTGTTACCACCACTTTTGAAAGCAAATACCAGATCCTAATTTCTCATAGAGTAAAGCGGGTATTTTGGATTTTCAATATTTAGCAATATCTTCCTTTTCTTATGTTTAGATACATTAGAATTGTTTCTGGTTGTCAATGGATCATTTTCAACGGCAATTCCTTTGAAAAAGAAAGGTATTGCTTGGTGGACAGATAAAAATGTGAAATTTAGAAACCCCCCTGGAGAAGGCCCCCTACAAGAACGATTTAAAGGTAAAATATTACTAATATCCTTTTAAAACATGATATAAGCTAGAAGTTTTAATAAAGTACCTAAAATTTTCAATCTTTCGAATCTCAGAAGATATTTATGCTTTTTGAAAACAGCTACTTTTCTTAACTTCATACATAGTAAGGTAAAAGTATATAGTCTGTTCTAATGTACTGAAATCCTAAAGGAAATGTAAACTTTTAATCTTAAACTTCTCTGGTATTTTCTTATAAGCATTTTACCCATAATCTTTTAAAACTGCAATGAAGTTTCTTTTTAACAAACCCCTATTATTTATTATAACTATAGATCCAAATTTACTTTTGTTTCTATATCTCAATTTCACAATGTAATGTTTCATATCACTATATCTTTGCATTAAATTATCTGCCTTTTGGTATATACTCAACAGCTCACTTTTAGTATTCTCTTTTATATATATTTTGATTTCAGAGAGGAAAGAAGAGGGGGAGAGAGAGATAGAAACATCAATGATGAGAGGGAATCATTGATCGGCTGCCTCCTGCACACCCCCTACTGGGGATTGAACCTGAAACCCAAGCATGTGCCCTTGACTGGAATCGAACCTGGGACCTTCCAGTCTGCAGTCCAACACTCTATCCACTGAGCCAAACCAGCTAGGGCCTTTTAGTATTCTCTTAATTGAGATATTAAATCTTTGTAATTATGTTAAGTTGTTACATGAGGGATTGGTTTCTCTCTTGATATAAGACTTCCTTAGAATATGAATGTATTCAAACCTTTGAAATTGAGAAAAATATTCTGATTGTGTAATATATATCTTTGTTTTATTAGAGTGTGAATTTTCAGTGAAACTCTTAATAGAATATTTTGTCTCTCCCACTCCCACCCCTCCTTTTTAAGATACAACAAAGCCAGTAAACTGGGTTAAACCAGTATACTTGCTGGATTCTGACCAAGATAATAATGGATTCATAAATGAAGATTTTATTGTTTGGATGCGTACTGCAGCATTGCCTACTTTTCGTAAGTTATATCGTATTATAGAGCGGAAAAGTGATTTACATCCAACGTTACCAGCTGGAGACTACTTTTTGAATATCAAATACAGTATCCTTTTTTGGCCATGAGCACATATTCATAGAATTGGAAAGGAGTGTAGTCCAGCCATATCTTAGTTATGTGGTATGCTACTTTGTGTTGAGTTATGATCTCTGCATTTTTATAAGAGTGTATGTATGGGAAAGTATCTTTTATGCCTTCCAGAAATATCTTTAATTTTTATCTACTTTGTACTAGGGTTTAAGCATATTATTTGGTAAAATTACTTAAAATGTAGGTTCTGGGTTTACTTGTAAGCTAGATATTTTTACATGGGTGATTGTAATTGAGCTTAATGGGAAAGCCAGTGAATGTACCTAATAATACATAAGTGTTGGTGGTACAAGCTGATTTTTTAAGATTTATTTTTATTGATTTCAGAGAGAGGAAGAAAAAGGCTAGAGAGAGGAAAATCAATGAGAGAGAATCATTGATCCATTGCCTCCTGCACACCCCCTACTGGGAATTGAACTGTGACCTCCTGGTTCATAGGTCGATGCTCAACCACTGAGCCATGGCGGTTGGGCTACAAGCTGTTTTAATATATATTTTTACATATTAAAAATCAGCAGATATGTTAACTAATATCAACATAATTGTTTCTAACTACTGCTCTGTTCATAGTACAAAACATTTTTATCATTAGCTGTATTTTGCCACATTAATAATTGAGATGTAATTTTCAGTGCTGATAAATGTCATTATTTCAGTCTGACTGTGTCAACATTGTACTAAGTATTTTCCATGCATTATTTTACTTAAATTCAAGCTTTATGAAGTAGTTGTCATCTCCATGTTATAGACAAGGATACAGGAACATAGAGCATTTAAGTAACTTGCCTGAGATTCCATGGGAAATAAGTAGAAGAGTTGAAGCTCATGGTCAAGCTGTTGACCCCAAAGGCCATGACTTTTCCGTCAATCACCATCCCTAGCTAGTTTAAACCAGTCCATACCAGCCTAGATGCAGTCTTTCCTAAGACGGAAATGTTGAGCACTACCTTTTATTCAAAACAAAGTCCTTACATTTTTAAATCTGTAGTTCATTTTATATCTCATGAATGAAAAGTTTCTTAAATATTTGCATTTAAATGTTTGCTAATGACAGATTAAAAGTTACCAAGTTTTTGAAACTAGGTCCCCCTAGGAGCAATTTTGGGCAGACAGACCCAGTTCAGGTGCTAGTAGAATGAACATTATCTTGATACTGAACAGCTGCCCTCTACTTTGGCTACAGTCTCAAGATAATGCTTTAAAATTACTTAAAATGTAGGTTCTGAATTTATTTGTAAGCTAGATATTTTTACATGGTTGACTATAATTGAGCTTAATGGGAAGACCAGTGTAGCCAAAGTACAGGGCAGCATTCAATATCAAGATAATGCTCTTTCTATTAGCACCTGAATTGGCCCTGTCTGCCCAAAATTGCTCCTACAGGGACCTACTTTCAAAAACTTGGTAACAGTATCCAAACCTGAAGCCTCCAGACTATAATAAAGGAAAATCTTTCGAGTGAGCACTCAGGAATTCTCAGCTGAGAATTTGCATCCCAGGCGTGGAGAGGAGAACTGTCAGGAGAATGCAGGATATATTGAAGATTGACAAGATGGACCTGCAAAATATCAAGGGTTAATTATCAAAACTAGGTATAAGGTAGGAACTAGATATTAGAATTAAGGCAGAAGCCCATTTTTTAGGTTTGTGATACTGGGAGATACTCGCATGGGTGATTTGAGACCGTACTCCTCAGAGCTCTGGGTTAGTTAGAGCTCTCATAATCAGTGTGAACTGATTTAAGAAACTAGTAGAGCTAAACGTGCCATTTGGAGTCATTTGGAGAGTTGCAGGAGCCCAGAGAAACAGATGGGGCCCAATATTGATTCAAAAGCCGCTTGTGAAAAGGTTGTAAATCTTTTACATAAGGACTTAGTTGTCCCCTTTTCTGACCTGTTGCTACAATCCTAGAACTGATCCATGCTCATCCAGTAAACTGACATCTCATTTCATAAATCTCTTTAACAACCCACCTTTCACTTCCACTCTGTTTTAGCCATCACCTCTCTGTGTCACACCATGAATTTTATCATTACTCCAAATCAGCAAGTTAAGACTAGTATAATGCTTTTTTACCCTGTTCTTAGAGTCTTCTCATTTTCTCATAACTACTCTCTTGCTACACATGCTCTTTGAGCTTACAGAGAAGACTTCTGATTCCTTCATCTTTTCCTTTTCTCTTGGTCTGTCAACCTCCTCTTTGAGGGTTTAACTGCTACTAGTATTTATTTGAAATATTTTTTCACATTATATTTCTTTTTTTCATTTTTATTTTAAATATTTATTGTTGAAAATATTACATAGACCCCTTCTGTTCCCCTTTAATCCTTCTAGTCATTTATTTGTGGCATTTTGCCCCTCCTGTGTAATGAGGGCACAAGTATCTGAGAACCGATATAACTGTTAAATTTGGTTGTTTTTTCTTGCAAACTATATTGGCTATACTACTAACATTTAATCTGCTAAACCAATTCTTCAGGATAAATATTACACAATTATTTTATGATTCGGAACATGGGAGTAAGGTGCCTGGGTATCATAGAATTATGTCAATGAATTACAAGCAATTAAATGCTAACTTTTTAAGGTGTATTTTAAAAATAAAGTCACTGAACATGGAAAAGTTTTCCTATTCACTCTTCAGATTACCCTGTACATTCTTTTGATGGACGAAAACGGATGATCTTAAGCACTATTTCATGGATGGGAGGAAAAAATCCATTTTTGGGAATTGCTTATATCACCACTGGATCCATCTCCTTCCTTCTGGGAGTTGTATTGCTAGTAATTAATCATAAATATAGAAACAGTAGTAATACTGCTGACATTACCATTTAATTTTATATTCTGAAAACAAACTTACCGCATGTACATCAAGGCCAGTTCTGTTCAGCCTAGCTTTTGAATGCCGATGTCTGGTTAGTATGTCATTTTTGAGGTTGGCATACCACTTTTTATTTAAAAAAACAGTCTTTGTCCTTTACTTCATTCCTATGGATGACTTATGAAAATAGATGATGGGTATAAAACAAATTAACTTTATTGATCATGTCAGCACTGTAACTACTGAAATGGCATTCTAATGTTTGCTTTTTGATGGGACAGCCCATATGCATAGAGCCTCTATCATGTGAAATGTGTCTGCTGCTTAAATGTTTATGCTGTGTTGATAAATATTATATTGACATACGTGCTGTATATGTGTGCCTATTGTGTAAAGAGAGGAATTACAAGATGTATGAGTATAATGCTTTGCTAACCTTCAGGATTCAAAGTCATGAAAAAATGAAGAAAGACCAAATCTAAATAAAACACTTCATCATTGTCATGTGTCATGTGTAAAGGCTTAAAGTACCATCTTTGGTGAGGTGGTTCATATATTTAATTTATCCAGTACAGTTCTTTGTCAAGCTTAGTTTTGATTTCACCTTTGAAGTCTTACTTATGCTCATGTCTGAAGAGGTCAGGTAGGAGAATTTAAAATTCGTCTTTCCATTTGGTTAAGATGTTGCAGTCAGGAACCCCAATTCACTTGATATGTTTTTACATGTGATCATGGAAATACCTCAAGCTGTTTTTATTTTGCCGGTAAGTGTTTTGACTTCAGTACTAATATTACATTGCAGAAATTTTGGAAAATAGTAACCTTTATTTCCTCTGTATTTCATTCAATTTTTGCATATAGGTCAAATATGGATGTGTATGCACATTCTCTTTAGTTAATGCAACAATAGTTTTGGTTGGTTTTCCTAATACATTTTATATATATATATATTTTAATCCTCATCTGAGGACATGTTTTTTTTTAATTGATTTGAGAGAGAGAGAGAGACATCCATGTGAGAGAAAAACATTGATTGGTTGTCTCCCACACGCATCCAAACTGGGATCCAATCCACAACCTAGGTATGTGTCCTGACTGGGAACTGAACCTACAACTTTTTAGTGTATAGCATGATGCTCCAACCAAATGGATCACCCGGCCAGGCCTAAGAAATATTTGAAAAAGTGGTTCTTTAAATTTCCTTATTAAATTCTGGAGATTTTTGAGTATATACATTATAAATTATATATGGTTGAAGCTGTTGTATTTTCTATCACTGGAATTATTTTAATATTCCTTATTGAATAAATGTTGTAATTTGTTTGCTATAAAACTTATTCTTGAATGCAAACTTATTTTTTCACATTCATGAAAATGTATGAATTAGAGGACTTAATCTCATTGAAATTGCTTTTTTTTTTTTTTTTTTTTACTCATATGTTTATATAGAAGAATGCCTGCTAATTTAGAATTTGTAATGGTTTCCTTCAGTTATATTTTAAATCAGAAGGTCTGGGTAATGTATCAATTTTGATTAGTATGTTTTTTAAAAAACCAAAACCAAAAAAATAACGTAATAGTAGGAATGTGCCACACCTAAGTTTTGTATAGCGTGACTTTTAATTTGTTGAATATTACTTGCATGAGGTACTTAATATATGATTATACTGAAATTTCTGAGTGCACAGGGTATTTTTTTGTCTGAAAATAGTCTTGGTTTGTCAGTCTTTCAGAATATTATTATTTGTTCTCATAACTGACCCTCTTACCCATGGCAGTTGATCTTCTGGAATACATTACTGGGGGAGAGGGGTCCTCCTGCTGGTTGTCCAGATTGAGTTTGTTCTGTTTAAGGAGGACTTCCATCCCGCATCCCCTTTTCTAATTGGGGGACCAAAGGTGCTGCTAAAGAAATGTTGAAGAGCCCTTCCAACATTTTCTCATCTGTGAAGATGAAATCTTAAAATATATTTGGAGTTTTATCTATTTTATAACTACACTGATGGCTTTAGTTTCTTCTGTCTCCTCCCCTTTGAGCTCTAAGGGATTCCTTTTGGTAAATATGAAGAATGTGGAACATTTATATGGCCTCTGTAAAATATTGGTAAATATGAAGAATGTGGAACATTCATATGGCCTCTTTCTTGTGGGCTTTATGCTCATTTTTTGGAAACATTAATGTAATATTCAACTTTCAAAGAATTATGTTTAATTTTAAGACAACTAGGTTAAATAGAAGACATTGAAGAATGCATTAACTTGCAGGAAATATTTTGATATGTGAAGTTTCTCAATTGAAGGAATTATTAGTAAGTAAAAACTAAGAAATGTCATTGAAATAAGGCAGTTTAAAAATAAATTGGTAAAAATAACTGTATTATCAAATAGAGAATTATTCAACCAAGAGGAGAGTCAAATGAATATTATTTATTGATTAGTAAGTTTATTTGTAATCTTGATTATGTTAAAAGATAGCTTTCTGTTAGTATGTTCTGTATTAATAAAAATGAACAAAATTAATTTGGCTATGTTCATGTGTCTTCCTAAAATAATAATGCCCTGGGGTTGTTGCTAACGTTTAGCACTAAATTTTTCGCTCAGGGTCAATGAGCTCAAGTTTTAGCATTTCTATGCCTAGATTTGATTGCCGTATGGATATCTATAATAATAAAAGCGTAATATGCTAATTAGACCAGACGTCCTTCCGGACAAAGCTGGGGCTGCGAGGGAAGCCCGGGTCCCCGGGTGCCAGAGGGAAGTCAGTGCGGGCAGCCGGGGGAAGAAAGACCTACTCTTGACGAATTTCGTGCATCAGGCCTCTAGTATAGTATATTAATCGCTAACAGCATCAACTCAATATTATCCGTATTATTGAGTAATGTGTTCTTACCAGGAAGTGGTCAAATTGTCACCTGAGTTATAGGCAGACAGGCTAAACTTCATATTCACAGGAAATGTCTAGTAAATAGAAAATGAAAATGTGGGATAGAGGCAAAGATGATGAAAATAATGAAGTAAGGGGGGCACACAGGAAATGAAAAGCCAGACTAGGAAAGAGGAACAGCTGAGAGGTAGGGTTAATGAATGTTGTCCAGTCTGTTCACCACCTATCTTTATGGAAACACTGCCTTAGAATTACAGTATAGTCCTTTGTTGGTTAAGTCACAAAGTTTTGTTCTTTGTAAACATGATTACTTTGAGGGGAAGGACAGGATGAGGAAGTGCTTTCTCAAGAAGAATTTTGATGCATAAATGTAGAGTTTGGATGATCTAGTAAAGTGTTTTAGAGCTACTCTCTTTAGCTCATGCCCCATTCAGTAAATATAAAAATCACATTTCCCCTGATGTCATTTGAAATTTCAAAATAAATTATACCATGGTAACCTTATTTGCTTTTATATATCTGTAAAATTTATCAAAGTAACATACACAATTTAAAAAATCTAAAGATCTTATGATGAAAAGCAGTAGTCCCAACTTAATTTACCTTCCAGAGACAATCATTTTGACTCCAAAAGTTTATTTGGGTTTTTATCTTAGTGTATCTAAATAATATGCCTATTCTACTGTTGCTTGATTTAACACTTTTAGACATTACCTTGATGTTACCAGATAATTAAGCTCTCTAACACACTTTCTCCCCTTCTCCCATTATAAAGTTATGCCATAAAATTTACTAAATGCATTCGCTACTGTTTAATTATACTGTAGTGCAAAGCAGTGCACCATGATTACATTTTGTATAATTTTATTTCTTCTGGACTTAATCCTCTCGTTTTTAACACAAGTTTCTGGAAATGTCTTAATTTTTTTTTTCTAACTTCTCATTCACTTTTACTAGGTTTCCATCACTGGAGAGGTCTATTCTGCATTTATCTTCTGTGCCAATCTGTACTGTGCTTCCCTCTCTTCCTCCCTTCTTTTCCTTCCTTTCATTTTCTTTTTCTTCCTTTTCTTTCATCTATCCTCATCTGAGGGTATTTTTCCATTAATTGTTAGGGAGAGTGGAAGGGAGGGGGAGAAGACACAGAGAGAAAAACATCAATGTGAGATAGACATCGATTGGTTGCCTCCTGCATGTGCCCCAGCTGGGGATCAAGCCTGCAACTGAGGTATGTGCCCTTGACTGGAATAGAACCCATGACCCTTTAGTCAATGGGCCAACACTCCATTCACTGAGCCATACTGGCTAGGGCTGTACTGGTTGTTTTCTTGTCTGGCCTCAGAGCCATTATCCCTTGACCTCCTTTGGTCACCCTCCTGTGTTGGATGTGCTATTTCCTACTTTACTTTCTTGTTTACTGGAGCACTTCCTACAACATTTAAATATTCCTAAGAAGTGGTATATGAGAGGCAAATGTCCTGAGTCCTTACATGTCTAAAATGTTCTTATTTTACTCTCACATTTCATTGGTAGTCTGACTACATATACAATTTAAGTTAAAAATAATTTTTCCTCAGAGTTTTGAAGACATTGCTCCACTCTCTTCTAGCTTTTATTATTGTTTTTGAGAAATTTGATTTTATCCTGGTCAGATATTAGACTTCTTTCACTGATGGTTAATTTTCTTCCCTTTTTCTCCAGTTGTTTTTTTTCCCCCCTCCAGTTGTTTTGACACTGTTGTCTCTGCTCTTTCTAGAAGATGTCTTCATTGTGATCTTCCAACATGATCTTCCCGTTGAGTTTTTATAGATATATATATTTAAAAATTGTTAAGACTCTCTTTATTTTTATTGTTTCTAAAATATTTTTTAATGTTCATTCTGGAAAGCATACTAATTTTTTTTGAGGACATGTATGGAAGCATATATACAGCGGTCGACAAAAGTAGGTTTATAGTTGTGAATACACAAAACAGTTTATTTTTGTTATATTATTTGTAATACAACTGTAAACCTACTTTTGCCTACCCCTGTAATTTTGTTTTTCATACTATTTACATTGATTTTTTTGTTGCTATTTTTAATTTTAGTTTTCTTTTGTTCACGTAGGTGACTTTCCTTGTATATGGCTAGCTTCAACAATCTGTCATGTAAATGGACCCCAAAAAATAATTGAAAGCTCTTTCTTTGTGGGCAGTGCTTGATTAGTGATAGGCTTCACTTGCACAGTGCAACTCAAAAATGCCATTCAGTGAATTTATTTGTTCTCTTCATGATAAAAAGCTTAATGACAAGTAGTAAATAGCTGGCAGGTCAACAGTTGTAGGTGGACTGAATTTTGAGAAAGACTGCATTAGGAATCGTTGTCAGGAACCGTTCAGTTCCTCTGGGGAAGAATTCTCTCAAAGAAGTGGTTGAAGGAGGGTCTGTTTATTCCTGCTTTAACTCTGTCTCTGCCTTGTCCTCCACCTCACTTTCTGTTTTCCACTGAATACATATTTCTCTATACCTGTCTGTCCCTTAGCATACTCCTTTCATCTAGTAGTCTCCCGTTACTCCTGATAAAAGTTCTCTTGTCTTCACCCAGTCGGTGTTTCTCATTGGTTGAGCATTGAACCATGAAAGGTCACGGTTCAATTCGGGTCAGGCTACATGCCCACGTTGTGGGCTCAATCCACAGAAGGGGGTGAGGGAGGCAGCAGGTAGATAATTCTCTCATCATTGATCTTCCTATCTCTCCCTCTCTCATCATTGATCTTCCTATCTCTCCCTATCCCTTCCTCTCTCTGAAATCAATAAAAAAAGGTAAAAAAAAAGTTCTCTTGTCTTCAACCTGTGAGAAACAGTGTTGGGGGCGAGAGATTGTATTTGGTTGAGAGAGTTAGGGCAGAGGCTGTATAATTTTCAGCTAGCCATTTTTAGGCCTGTCCCTTGGCTCTGCTCTTTGCCATAACTTTTACCTCCAAGTCAGCTTCTCAATGATCATGGGACCAATCGGCATGCTTCTCACTGATAACCCCCTTGCAGTCCCTTCAGATCATTGCAGCTGCTTCTGTCCTCCTCAGTCTATCGCAACTGCTTTCTGTTTCCAGAAATCTGTTGAAATCCTTTCTCTGTTTCTGTCTCCTCTCTACTTTCATTCCTTTTGGGCTCATATCTTTTTTAAAGGATGGGTTTTAGATTATCATACAGTCAACCTACTTTTTTTCTTGTAGTTCTGTGAGTTATAACTAATGTCTAAATTTTTGTAACCTTCATAGGATACTGAGCAGTACCATCAACCCCTCCTCCCCCCACAAACTCCCTTATCCTGTTCCTTTTTGTCACACTTAACCTCGCTGATAACCCCAGGCAACCACTGACCTCTTTTCCATCCCCAGTTTTTCTTCTAGAATGCTATAAATGGAATCATACCATATGTAACCTTTGAAACTGGCTTCTTTCACTCAGCATAATGCCTTTTAGATTCATCTAAAGGTCTATCAATACCTCATAACCTTTCAATTTCTTTTCTTTCATTTTACTAGAGTGAGAGAGAGAAAAGACTCTTAGGGCCAGTTCACTATCAAACCAGAAACACCTTGAAGCACCTTGTGATTTTATAACATTTTATAATCTTTTTTCTCCTTCTTACTTAAAAATTTTTATTGAATTTATTGGGGTGATACTGATTAATAAAATTATACTGGTTTCAAATATACAACATTTTATAACATTTTTTTAAAAACTTAATGTTTTTATGCATTTTAAGTGACATTAATGGGAGCTTGTCTGCTTGTGTACCCCAAGCTTTTCTATTCAGGGTAATGTGGAAGAAGACTGAACTCATCATACATCACTCTAAAATGTCAAGACTGGTATGCCACTTTGTTTCAAGGACCAGAAATGCAGAAGAAATAGCTTAACAAATACATGCAAATTTTGCAGTTGAATCAGTGGTCTAAAACAATCTCCGGAGTGTGTTGTCTTTCCTTTCACAGCAAGGCTTGTAAAAGAGTGGCTTATATTTTGTCATTGTCAACTTCAGCCAGGCTTTAATCCCATGATTGTATTCTGCTCTGGTCACTGTCAACTGTGTCTAAAGCAGCAGTTCTCAACATGTGGGTCGCGACCCCTTTGGGGGTCGAACGACCCTTTCATATGGGTCACCTAAGACCATCGGAAAACACATAATTACATATTGTTTTTTGTGATTAATCACTATGCTTTAATTATGTTCAATTTGTAACAATGAAATTGGGGGTCACCACAACATGAACTGTATTAAAGGGTCGCGGCATTAGGAAGGTTGAGAACCACTGGAAAGGATTATGTAGGAAGAGTATGGGTTTCAGAAGCAGATTGATCTGGCTCATATATATGTATAAACTAGGGGTGGGCAAACTTTTTGACTCGAGGGCCACAATGGGTTCTTAAACTGGAGCGGAGGGCCGGAACAAAAGCATGGATGGAGTGTTTGTGTGAACTAATATAAATTCAAAGTAAACATCATTACATAAAAGGGTACGGTCTTTTTTTTTTTTTTTAGTTTTATTCATTTCAAATGGGCCAGATCCGGCCCGCGGGCTGTAGTTTGCCCACGGCTGGTATAAACTGTATCTTCAGATCATTTAATCTCCTAAACCATTTACTATTTA